TTCCTTCCTTCCTTCCTTCCTTCCTTCCTTCCTTCCTTCCTTCCTTCCTTCCTTCCCACCGTTTCCTAGAAAGTGAAAGGAGTGGTTGGACAGTGAAAGGTGAGTCCTCAGAACTTTTCCCCTCTGGCTAAGAATTGTTTTCCAACCTTTTTATCCTGTCTTCACTGAGAAACTTTTTTTTATAAATATTTATATTTTCTGCCCTGGGAGAGAATATTAGAGTGTGTTGGACAAATATTTATCTCATTGGAATTTCCCCACTATTCAGTCTCCATGTCTTTCCTAGCTCAAGCAGGAGGGAGCTAGGCAAGGTGTGTGGCAAGGTGTTCCACAGGAGCAGCTTTGCTTCACTCGTTCACTTGTTCAGACTTCCAACAAACATTTCCTGAGTGCTTATTCCAAGGTAAATACTGGGCTGGATCTTCTGGGATAAAGTGACGAAGGCTGAAAAACATCTATGATCCATGATGTCAAGCTTAATGAGAAACAGATATCGTACAGTGATCACACAACTTAGCTGATTACACATTGTAATGAACATGATTTATAAAGGCCCAGACTAAGCCAGGTATGGTGGCACATGCCTGTAATCCCAGTAGTTGGAGAGGCAGAGACAGGCGGATCTCTGTGAGTTTCAGGCCATCCTGGTCTACAGAGCTAGTTCAGGAAAGCTAAGGCTACATAGAGAATCCCTGTCTCAGGAAAAGAAGAAGAAGATGATGATGATGATAAAGGCCCAGAATAACATGTTCTAGTGGATTTGGTGTCAAGAAATAGTAACGTAGGTGAAAAGGGACATATTTTAAAAATTGTTTGATTGGTTGGCTGGTTGCCTGGTTTGTCAAGGGTTTCACAAGACAACTGGCCTTGAACTCACTATGGAACACAAGCTAGCCTTGAATGCATAGTCTCCTGACTACTGAAATTACAGCTATATACCTCAATGCCTTGCAGAAGATATGGTTTTAAGAGCAATTTTTAAAGATGGGCAATTCTGTGGCTCATCTGAAGGAACATCAACAGCATCCATTGTGAGGATAGAGATAAACCTGATCCATACAGTGAACCAAGGACATGGTTTCCTAAACTCTAGAAAAACTCTACCATCAAACCTGCCATTTGAGAAGAAAAGTGACTTTTGGGTGACACCAAGGGCCATAACCTTTATCCTAAAGCAAAACCTAACTCATCAGAGAAATGAATTGTGGTCAGTTTAGCTTCATTAAGCTTGGGAGGTTTTTCTGAGCAAAGGATGGGAAAGGAGTAGCTGACACATGAAAGCAGAATTTAAAAGCACCAAAAGTCAAGACAGGACTCTTCAACAGAATTCTACAAGGAGAGAAAGCCAGGATCGCCTCCATCCTTGGGTGGTTTGAATGAAAAATGCCCACCCACAGACTTATGTGTTTGAATAATTGTTCCTCAGTTGATGGAATGGTTTGGGGAGTTACGGAGCCCCAAGGAGAATGAGTGTCATTGAAGGAAGTACATCCTGGGGGAGGACTTTCAGAGTGTATAACCTTCCCTACTTCTAATTCACTCTCTCTGCTTTCTTTCCATGGTTGATGAGGTGATCTTGCCTGCTCCAGCCCCTGACTCCATGCCTCCCGTGCCATTAAGGACTCTCCTTCTGGAACTATAAGGCAAAATAAACTTGTTCTGCCATTACTTGTTTTCAGTCATGGTGTTCTATGACAACAACAGAAAAGTAACTAATACAACTCTCATCCTCAAATAACTGCCACACATCATACCAGACCTTCGAACACATGAGGGCCCAGGAACTTTCTAGGACAGTTGTGAAATAGGAGCAGCCCTGTAGCCCATGCAGAATTGCCCAGTAGTGCTATCATGACTTCTGGATGAGTGATGCTCTGTCTGAGGGACAAAAACAAACAAACAAACAAACAAAAGCCCAAAAAGTAGAGGAAAGAGAGAAGTCAGAGCAGACTACATTATGCATTTGAAGAGATGCAGGCAGACAGGAATAATGGTGAATGCTTTTAATCCCAGAATTCAAGAGGCAGAGGCAAGCGGATTTCTGTGAGTTCAAAGCCAGCCTGGTCTACAGAGTGAGTTCAGGACAGCCAAGGCTACACAGAGAAACCCTGTCTCAACAAGCAAACATACAAATGCAAGCCTTCCAACATCCTTGGGGACTATGATTGGATGGGGAGGTAGAGGCCCAGAGGAATAAGCCAGAAAGCACTGGAAGCAGTGAAGAAATCTCAGTCCTACCTGTAAGCCAGTATATAACTAGAGAAATCCAAACATAACTATGTTAAATATCAGTTGTATAAATACACATCCAACATACATAGATAAAACACACATAGAAGTCATGTGCTCAAATGTACATATGTTTGTATAGACTGCTCAGAAAGCCAGGAGACCACAAGAGCCAGGGACACTGCTAGGTGATGGACTAACTAGTCATCTCTGTCATTTTGATTGGTACATTTACTTAGCTCATAATTTATCCTTCTCAGGTCTCTGATCACATTGACGGCTAGGCTGAAAGGCTAGGTTTAGTTAAGAGTAACTTGACAGCTAAAGAGCAGACAGTTAGGTTCACTATCAGCTCATTGGACAGTTCATTAGTTAGTTAAAATTACTAGGTACTATATCTTTTGTGTAAAAAGAAAAAAACAGGTTTGCCCTGCTCACAGGCTTTACATCAGTTACCAATGTCTTATAAAAATAGTTAAATTAAAAATATATATATAAAGTTTATATAGGGTCTGAGGATATAGGAGTTCAGGTTATAAAAATCTAAAAAATGTTGGTCTACATACTGATCAAAGTGTCAATTTAATGGACGTCAGGTTAACACTTAAGTAAAAAAAGAAAAAAAAAGTACAAGCAGTTTCTCACGCAGGCAATTTTACTTAGCCAAAATATAAGAGGGCTTACTCAAGGTTGCACAGAGCCTGCTGTCTGGTTACTATGGTTGCACGGAGTTTCTCAGGGTCAGAGCAGTCCGCTATAAGACCACCAAGGTCAGTTTGTGAGACACTAGACTTTAAAAAATAGCCAAGAGGCTGAGTTCCGCTGCTCAGATGCCGTTAACTCCAAAAAGGCTGCCACATGGACACACTTGTTTATAAAAAAATATAAAACAGCTGACTGGTACCCATTCTGTTGGTATAGTTTTTACCTGTTACTCTCAAAATGTTGTATTAGATTTGCTGATATATTACTTTTCTGAGTTTTTTTAATATATATATTTCCTTTTGTGTACCAAAAATTCATATGAGTTTATAAAAATCAAAAGGTCATGAGACCTAGATCTGACATAGCTCAAATGGATCCCAGATGAGTTTTTCCCTGGTGTTGGGATTCTTCACTTTTCCCATTTAACAGACAAATCTTAACTTCTGTCTCTAGTCTGAATTTGTCTCAGCAGATTTTCACCTGGTTTACTAAGTTGCAATCTGGACTTGTTGGAAGCTGACATGACTGCTCTCTATCTCTTCAATCGGATCAACTAACCAGAGACTGTTAAGGACTGCCTCATTGACCAGCCTTTGACTGACTCCTAGTAATCTTTACTAAATTAAAAAAAAAAAAACTTATAACTGGACAAAAGGCCATGATTTTGGCATCAAAGTAAAAAATTCTAGTATCTTGGGTGGGAGCTCTAAAGATCTGGGAAAAATCCTTAAATTCAGTTAAAAACAACTCCCTTGGGCACTCAAGGAATGGGACCCTTATCTACTTTGCTTGTTTCTTTAACGTTTAAACCCAGATAATTACAGACTAAGGTAACTACCCATGTACTCTCCCCAACTTTTGACCAGCATTTCAGCCTCTTTCAAACTGAGATATCAACAATCCAATCATCAGTATGAAAAAATTCCAGAAGATGGATCTTCGGCCCATTGTCCCATTCTACAGGCTGAAATGTTGAGTCAAAAAAAAAGTTTCTTAAGATAAAATTCTCACTCTGCAGATGCTTCATGATTGAAGCAGTTACAAGGAGAAGGGGGAAATGAAAGGGTTAGGCTAACTTTGTAACCTATATGTCTTCTAAAGCCTATAGTTTTGAGTTTTTAGGTCCAGGTTAAGCTAAAGCCTCTTAGTACCTTTCCAGAAAATGAAGGAATGTGACCCTATCTGTGAGGACAGATATAAAAAAAGGCAAGCAAGCAATGACCTTCACTCAGCAAAAGAAGGACCAGACCCTTGTCTTTGAGATAACGTTTCTCAGCAAGGAACCTAGACTTCTTCTGAGTAGCTTTTGACCTCCAGCCAAAAGTCTGTAGCCCCTAATCTTCAAGGATGAGCTAACCACCCCCACCTTAAATTGCAGCTGCATCCAAACTTGGCAGGACTGGCCAAGCTTGAGCACCTAAGACTAACCAATTATCTTACTTTATAGCTTCCTCATCCAATCCTAAATTGCCAAGACTACAATTTCAAATCTCCCGCAATTTTTCTTTTAAAAACGTAAAGGCCTTTGTCTCCCGGTGCCACTCTTTGCTGACCGGCAGGGGTGACCCCATTGTGCAATGGTTAATAAACCTCTTGCTTTTGCAACGAGTCTTGGTCTGGGGGAGTTTCTGAAAAGGGCATGATCTTGAACTCCTGAGCTGTGAGACCCCAGGTCTTACACTCCCCATTTTTTCACTTCCACAGTTTGATTTATTTTGGTTAAAGTTAGATTCCCACTCTGTTTCCCAATCAAGTTCTGAACTCCTGGGCCTCAAGGATCCATCTGTTTTGTGTAGCTAAGACCACAGGCATGACGATGTTCATGTCTTCTACCGTTTCTAACCTTGTGTGTTCACAAGATGTGCTCTTCTTCATGCGAACTCCTAGACATTCCACTGTACGTTCACATAAACATGGCATCTTAAATTGAAATGACAGGCACATAATACTCCCCGAAGAAATGTTGACTTGCTTAAACCATCTGTATTTATTATTTTTCTTGAATAGTTGTGCCAAATTCCATTATATCTGGTGTACTCTCTTGGGAAAA